CTTGATGAGATACTTAAGCCTCTCTCCTTGAATTTGGTGATCCTTATGAAATAAAAGATTTGTCCTTGTTCAAAAATCTCATTATTTAAAAATTCTTTATTAAGAAACTCTCTCGCACACCAACCAACAACAACCAATTTTTATCAACTATTTATTTAAAATAAAAAACAAAAAATATAGGCGAAAACAAGTGTGATTGCTTATTTTATTTTTAAAAGTAAAAAACAAAACTTCACAAAACCGTGCACACTTGATTATTATTATTGTCATTTTTACCTTGATGAAATATTTAAGTATCTATTTTTAGATTTGGAATTTATTATTCAAAAAAAGTTTATTTTAGAAGCTAATAAGGTCATCATTTTTGTTAATTAGACAAACCCAACATGTTTTTGTGGTTAAAGATTTCAAAACCAAATAAGGAGACCCCATGTTTGTAGTGTTCATAAGTCTGAAAGCAAAAAAAAAGACATATTATTTTTGTTAAAAGATCCAAAAACAAACAAACAACCATGTTATTTGTGTTAAAAACTTTAGAAGCAAAGAAAGAGGTAACATTATTTGTGTTGAAAACTCTAGAAACAGACAAAGAGACCCTATTCAATGTAACAGGTTTTAGACTCTAGAAGAAAATAAAGAGAACTCGTATTATTTGTGTTAAAAACTCCGAAATCAAGCAAAAAGCCACATTTTTGCGTTAACACTTCTGAAGCAAACGAAAACCTCAAATTCTTTGTATTAAAAGAGTTGATAGCAGACAAAGAGACCCTAGCTTATTATTGTTCAAAACTCTAGAAAAAGACAAAGAAATCCATGGTATATGTGTTAAAACTCTAACAACATTTCAAAAGACACGTTATTTGTGTTCAAAACATTGATTCAAACAGAAACCCCACGTTATTCGTGCTTAAAAAATTGAAAGTAAATAAAGAGACCCCTTATTTTTAGGCAAATTTCGTGTTTTATTAAAAAATCTAAAGCAAATTACACATCATTACACTTTCTTGAGAATGGCCCAACCCACAGTTAGCCCAACATTTAAAAACAAAACAACCGAAAAAAACAACAAAGAAGCATGATAGACCCACTAAGTAAGCCTATAAATCTAACTAAGGCAGGGTTTCTTAATTAAGGACTCCTCATTTCCCCTCACTACCTTCTCTGGTTTCCTAATTAATAGACCTCATATTATTTTTATTATGAATTTCAAAAGTAGACAAAGAAATAATTACTTTTGCTAGGCTCAAAAGGTCTTCATGTAAAATGATTTGTAGTTCTATATGCCAAGTATTAATGTGGCCATCTTTGTTTGTAACGATTTATTGTCATATTATATATATATTAGTAAATAGTAGTATATTTTTTTATAAAAAAAAACTTTGATTTATTTTTTAAAACATTAGAACCCTATGATGCTCCTAAAAGCCCCAAACTATCCTTGTTTGGCAATTCATAGATTTTTGGGTCTTCTCTATAAACTGAATCAAATTGGAAAAAAACTTTGTTTTATAAAGGGTATTTGTGTATGCATTCATCCTCATAGGTTGAGACAAAATTCGATAATTTTGACCTCAAGAAACAAGTAAACATACAGAAATTCAAATTCAAATTTTAAGAAAGATTTGCACCTGAGTGTCTATTCCTATGCAAAAAAAATGATATCGTCAATAAATATATTTTAATGCAAATATTTGGTTATATGTTTCACCATATTTGAAGTAGACACTAAATCATATCTTCAGTAAGCAGCTTACAATATCATCACACTAGACTTATTTTTCCTCACGAGAAAGAGGAGGAATATTCACGTAAATATCTAAAAGATAATTGGATGGCAGATTTTCCAAAAGGATAAATCGATGATGTTTTAAATTTAGGCCTTTATTTTCCCATTTTAATTAGAAACTAACCCTACCCTAATCATCCAATAACCATTTATATATCTACAAATAACTTCCCACTTCTTCATTTCTTCCCTTTTCTTTGTTAAATTTCTATTAATCATTAACTCTGGTAATTTTTTGTTTTATTATGTTTAACTTACAACATTTACATGGATAATCCTCCTCTTCCTCGAAGATGAGGAAAAATAAGTCTAGTGTGATGATATTGTAAGCTACCAACTGAACATATGATTCAGTGTCTACTTTAATTATGGTGAAACATATAACTAAAAATTTGTATAGAAATATATAGTGAGGATATCGTTTTTTTTCTGCATAGGCATATCCACTCACACGCAAGCCATTCTTAAAATTTGAATTTAAATTTCCATATGATTACTTGTTTATTGAGATCAAAATGATAAAATTTCATCTCAACCTATGAGGATGAATGTATACACTAAAACCCTTGATAAAAAAAACTTGTATTACAATTTGATTCAATTTATAAACAATACTCAAAAATCCATGAACTGCCAAACATGGATAGATTGGGGCTTTCAGGAGTATGTCTAGGGTTCTAGTATTTTAAAAAATAAGTGAAAGTATTTTTTTGGTTAAACAAATACTCCTATTTACTAATATATATAATATAACAATAAATCATAACAAACAAAGATGCCCACATTAATATTTGACTTAAAGAACTACAAATCATTTTACATGACGACCTTTTGAGCCTAGTAAAAGTAATGCTTTATTTGTCTACTTTTGAAATTCTTAACAAAAATAATATGGGGTCTATAAATTAGGAAACGAGAGAAAACAATGAGGGATAATGAGGAGTCCTTAATTCGGAAACCATGCCTTAGTTAGATTTATAGGCTTACCGAGTGATCTATCAATATTTATTTGTTGTCCTTTTCGGTTGTTTTATTTTTAAATGTTGGCCCATGCTTGAGCAAGTATAAGGAAGTATAATTTGTTTTCGGTTTTTTAATAAAACACGAAAATTGCCTAAAAATAAGGGGTATCTTTATTTACTTTCAATTTTTTTAGCACAAATAACGTGGGCTTTCTGTTTGCTTTCAAAGTTTTGACCACAAATAATGTGTCTTTTTACATGCTTTCGGAGTTTTAACACATATACCATGGATTTTCTTTGCTTGCATCTAGAGTTTTGAACACTAATATTTTGGGTCTCTTTGCCTGCTATCAATTATTTTAATACAAGGAATCTGAGGTTTTTGTTTTTTTCCTACGTTTTAACACAAAAAATGTGGCTTTTGCTTGCTTTGGGAGTTTTTAACACAAATTATACGAGTTATCTTTATTTGCTTTTAGAGTCTAACACTAGTTACATGGAATAGGGTCTCTATCTGGTGCTGGAGTTTTAACACCAATAATGTTAAATCTTTCACTGCTTCTAAAGTTTTTAACACAAATAACGTGGCCGTTTGTTTGTTTTTGGATTTTTCAAACAAAAATATTGTGTCTTTTTTTTTGTTTTCAGACTTTTGAACACTGCAAACATCGGGTCTCTTTATTTTGTTTTGAAATCTTTAAACACAAAAAAATGATGGGTCTGTCTAATTTTTAAAAATGATGATCTTAATTTAGCTTCTGAAATAATTTTTTTTTTGAATCGTAAATTTCAAATCTAAAAAAAGCTACTTAAATATTTTATCAAGGTAAAATAATAATAATAATAATCAAGTGTGCACGGTTTTTGGAAGTTCCTTTTTTTTACTTTTAGAAATAGAATAATCTATCACACTTGTTTTCACCCATTTTTTTTAGTTTTTTATTTTAAATAAATAGTTTTAAAAAAATTGGTTGTGGTTGGTTGGTGTGGGAGAGATTTCTTTAATAAAGAATTTTTTAAAAATGAGAATTTTGAACAAGGACAATTTTTTTATATAATAAGGATCACCAAATTAAAGGAGAGCAGCTTAAGTATCTCATCAGGTGCAAATAAAATGTGCATAATTCGTGAAGATTTTGTACAAGTGTTTGAACTTTTTGAAAAATTACTTTATAGCAAAAGAGGCTAGAATCATACAATTTTGAAATTGGACGGTAAACAAATATATTTATTAAAATAATTGGAGTATTAATTTTTTTCATTTACCTAACGTATTTGAATTTCTTCCTAGACGGAATCGACGTCTATGTCATATTTTAAAGTCTTTCTAGATGGACTCGACGTCTATGTCAAATCCACTAAGATGCGCACGTGATATATATAGAGCATAGCTGACTAGGAATACACAAGAATTGAGTTAGACTATCAATGGTCCGCACAAATACAATCTCAAATGTTACATTAAGCTATAACTTATTACTGATTAGACAAATTAATTTAACTGACAATACTTTTTCCCATTATTTTACTTTTTGAAAAAAATTTAAAAATACTAACCCTCACCACATTCTTAATCATCCAATTAGATTTTTAAAATATATAATTAGCTACCTCTTCTTCACTTCTATCTTAAATTGCTATAAATTATGAACTTCTAAGTTTTTTTATTTTATTAAACTGAATTTTCAATATTTACATGGATAAACTTCCTACTAGTTGAAGATTAGCAAAAAAAGGTCTAATGTGACGATATTTAAGAAATTAAATGATGATATGATTAAATGTCTACAATGTGATAAAACACATAAGCATAAATACACATAGGACTAGTGAGGATGTCATTTTTTTTATAATTATGGGCACTTGCTTAGGCATAATCATTAAGTTTTAGATGCAAATGTTTATTAATATTTGAAATTTGAATTAGTTGACGTAAAATGAAAATTTTAGATTCGCATTTTAAAAAATTAGAAATTTCAGAATTAGTTGCATTGAATATTAGCATTTAATGTATTACAATCTCTTCACATGTGTTGTACATGTATTACATAATAACGTAATGCATATTTTTATATATAATATCAACATTATTAAACTACATAACCCAAAAAAGCAGTATTAATAAAAAGAAGCATATATCATAGATGAAACTATTGGAATTGATAAAGTTTTTATTTTTTTAAATTGAAACAAATGGAGTTGATAAATTTTTTTCCATCAAATTGAAATTTCTACTAGGGTTGATAAAGTTTTCAATTAATTATTATTGGGTTGTCAGTGTTTATACCCTCCACATCTTCAGGAACCAATTCAGCTGGAAAATTTTCTCTTAGAATCTGTATTTTGAATTCGACGTTGTCAGGGTTGCACTCTGAGAGTTCAAACGCAATTCCATCCCCCTCTTTTAGATTGTTATCATCCCCAAAAATTTTCCATCCAGTACTAAATTTGTATTTAGTTTTGGCTCCACCAAAAAACAAGTTCCACTTCTTTCCACTATAAGTAAGGACTCCAGGGCCTCCAGCAAAAGGTAGCTCTTTGTTCATTTTATTGGGTAAGTACTGTCAAACATTAAAAAAAAATTAGCAAAATAAAAGTCAAGAATCCAGAAAACCCGAATTGTCCAGATCTAACCTATATATATATATATATATATATATATATGAACCTAAACATTAAGCATGAAACCAAGAACATCTAATATTGAATGCACCACTCCAAAACTACAATTCTTCCCCATGTTTTCTGTAACACTCTGGAAAATGCTAGGTTTAACTAAAGCCTAAACGTAAGGATAAATTTAATACAAATAATTTCCCGTACGTTAGTAGACCATGTAATAATTTTAGGGGGTTTAGGAGTCAAGGACTAATAGAGTAGTGTCAAGCAAAATTAGCAAGCAAAGGCCAAACCTCAAGGATGCCCCAAACTTGGAGCTACTTCCTCAAGGCTCTACGACTACAACCGCGGCTCATTGTTGAGACCACAGTCAGTGGAAGTCTTCGTTGAGTTGCGTTGGCCAAGAGATAGGAGCCCCAAGTGTCCTAGACACTGCCCCATGGGTCGTGATCCACTCCATGACTCGTGAGTTGGGGCATGAGACTCCGTTAGTTTTTTCGTAGGAAATGGGAAATTTAGGGGAGCTACTGCCCAAAGAAACATTGGCACCATAACAGGCCGCGGTGTACTTGACGAGGGGAACGGGGGTTCGACTCCATTGAAAAAACACCAAAAGCTTCAAGGAAAGAGTTCAACCTCTAAGATTTTTATCTCAATTTCGTGGTAAAGCTTCAAACAAGGTATGAGAGCTTTCATTCATGGGATTTCATTCCCCATGAAGCCGTTCCTATACTATTTTTTAAATTGGGAATTTGTTCAAAATTAGGGTTTTGATTCTAACCTTTGGTTCTTCTCAAAAACATTTTATTTATATGTTGGTTATCCTATACGATACTGAAATTGACATTTAATGAGGGGTTTTATTGCTAAATTTCCCTTGAACCCATGTGTTTTCCGCATGCCCCCAACTTTATTAAAATTATGATGGGTTCATTTATGAATTGTGATTATGTGCAATAGTATATATGTCGATCTAGTAATTAATATTGTTTATTTCATGCTTATATGTATTTCTAAGTGTTATTTCAAGATATGATCGATGACTCTTGAAGGGTAAATTGTAAGTGTTGAATCTTGAATTATGCGCTTGAACACAATGCATGAAGGTAATCCTATGTCCAAGATTGTGATATAGGAATAGTTTGATCCACTTGAAAGGTGGACGTGCATACTTATATGTATTTAAGTATGAAGTTATGTTCCACTTGAATGGTGAAAATTCAAGACTAAAGTGTGATATATGGTATGTTGAAAGGCTAGTTTCCTTTACTATTAGACATGACTATGTATTAATTGTCTTGGATGATTATATGATGATTCTAAGGTGAAAGGTAGTTCTCACCATATTAAATACATGAGCTATGTATGAGTTGGGTTGAATTATGAGTTGGGTTGAATGAAGAGTAATGTACTCCTTCACATATGAAATTTCAATTCACCTTAACTATTTATAAGTTGGAGAATAATGCTGAGCACCACGTGGATATGGCAAATGAGGTAGAGACGTTCCCGCTAGTTTAGGCCGGGTATTCTACATATGATATAATGAGAAGGAAACTCTCCCGCTAGGTGAATCTGTCGGGTTTCTAGAAGCAATCTTCTTATCCCATAACTATGTACCCGCATAGGGCTTAGCTAGTATATCCATATTATAGATATATATGTTTAGTTCCACCTTAGGCAAGTAGAACACCTACTATCGGTGTGGGGCTATATGTCACCGGATTTCATGTAACTCTCATGGTCTATGCGGTTAAGGCAATTCTCCTTATGTAATAAGATAATGCATATGACCTGAACCATACTTATGATTTCTTGATAATTCTACTTCGTAGGAGTGAGGTTATGTGACTTCACCTTTTACATTGCACAAGTAGTCTTTGAAAGTCAATATGGGTGGGTCCATGATGCTATGGTATGACATGAAGGTACGATATTCGTTGATTGGGTTGTTGTTAAGATATGATTCTCCTTATGTATATGTGATGAACATAGTTATTCACTTCTGTATGATTGTGGATTATGATGGGATCTAATATTGATATGTGTAACTCATGTGATTCTTAATGGATACATAGTATAGTTGGTATTATGTGATGCCAACTATGCATTGCACAAGTATGCTTTTAGGGTTGTTAAGGTGATGGTCATACTATGTTATGAAAAATCGTATGAGAATTCTATTATGATTTGTCTGATGTCCTTGTGTGCATAAATTGTTTTCCAACTTAATAAACGCATTATTTTCACTAAAATGTCTTTTTAGCAATATTAAGTATCTTTATACATGTTTCCATACTTCGTACTGTTTTTTCTAACCCATTCTCTTCTACATCTCCTATAATTGTATGTTCAGACCATTGAGGTGTTGTTAGTTCATTCTTGAAGAAAACTTGCGTTGCTACCTCTATGTTTTGGTGAGTCCACCATTCTGAGTACGGAATGTTATTGTGTCTAGTTCTAGTTAACTTTCCTTGTTAAGGACTATATTGTATTTTCTTATGATAACAGTTATGATTAATGTAAGGAGTGATTCCTAAATTTCGTACTCTTATATTTAGATTGTCTTACAAATCTAGCTTCCCATTTTTCATATATCCAGAAAGTTATAGTTCTACGATAAAAGTTTTAAGTTTCCGCATTATTCTTATGTCTTATGTAATGGTGGTTAAGGGCTTGTATGAGACTCCTTTAGTGTCAAGTACGTTATGTCACTCCTAGTGTGTAACCCGCGTCGTGACATATTCAATACAATGGAAATGAGATTCTACAATTTAAAAAAGAAAAGAAAACCTTTTTAGAAAATGAAATATCTCATAATCATAAAAATGAAATTCTTACTAATAAAGATGGGAAAATGCACAAGTACCCCCTCAACCTATGACCTAAATCCCAGAGACAGACTTATACTATACTAAGGTCCTATGACCCCTCTGCACTAACTTTGTTAATAATTTTCTATCCCTTTTCGGCCTGCGTGGCACTATCTTGTGGGCCAAACGCTGGTCGGCTTTTTTTCAAACTAGTGCCACGTAGGCCGAAAAGGGGTAGAAAATTACTTATAAAATAAGTTCAAGGGGGAAATAGTACCTTAGTATAGTATAAGTGTGTCTCTGGAATTTCGGGCATAGGTTGAAGGGGTACTTGTGCATTTTCCCAATAAGATTATAAAAGGATAGGAAATCATTTCCCCATCCTGTATCGACCCTCAAAATGAAATAGGGTAATCTATAGCCTCACAAGGTCTTAATGAATTAATAGGGTTTTAAGATAATTAATATTAGAATTAGAAGTCAATTTGTAGAGTTGGGAAGTCAAAATGTCCAAAGACGACCAAGACGTCCGGAAACTAGTCTTGAGCGTGTGCTAGTGTGTCCTTGGATATTGTATGTGTTTTTATGTGTTGTTTGGAGTATAAAATGAGTGGAGATGAACCTAACACCTAGATGACCATACATAGGGTCAAAGTCATCCTGTTATGAATCCCCTAAGGGCCCCCTAGGGGTCCTTGAGGAGGACCCAACCTTGGGCCGACAAGATGCCCAAGGCGGTTACAAATTTTGCATAGATGAAACCAGTCCGCGTCGCGGACATGGTTAACCAAGGGTCAAATTTTTGTTCCATGTCTTGGACTCTACTTTCCCAAAAATTATTTCGAAAAATCTTGAGGGAACAACTCCACGATGTGGACTTGTTCCCCGACGATGATTCCGAAAATTTAAGTTAAGTTTTACTTGTCTAAAAAGGTCCAATTAATGTAGGGGTATTTTGGGGGTGTATTATATATTGATTTTTAAGTCATTATTCACCATTACCCTAATCAAAAACCGCAATCCTCAATTAGAGTCCAAAAATTTTAAGCTCTCCATTCTCTCAAATTCTCTCTAATTAGATCCTCCATTGGAGGACCTTCAAGTCCCAAGGAAGAAGGCAAAATTCTCCAAGCTTTCATGCCTAATTTCGTGGGATTTCATCCTTGACTCTTCTTCCATTCATGGAGAAAATTTCAAAGGCTTTCAAAAGATGTTTAAAAACATAGAAATTCCTATTTTTAATTCATGGGTTCTTGCATGAAAAGTTTTAAATCAATGTTTTGTGAAGTAATTAATATTAATTGAATATTTTAAGGTCAAAAACTCGCTGAACCTATAATTTTGGCTCTAAAGTGAATGAATTGATCATGGCTTGATCTTAGTGAATTCATGTGTATATTGTTTTGGGCTGTTAAATTATGTACAAATCATGATAGAATTGTTTATAACCTGCCTTATAATGATGATATTCATTATTTATGTTGTTGTATCATTGATATGGATTGGTTGTTGGCTTAGTATTGTGTACATGGCTATTGGTAAGAACCTTTGTAAAGTGAATTGGTCGAAAAGACTAAAGAATGGTGATGATTATGATTGTGAGTTGATCTATTTCCTCAATTTAGTATTGAAGTGATATTGTATTGCCTTTATTGCTATGGTCCACTTACGGTGGCAGTGTCTAAGTGTTATAACTGTTATGAAAATGGCATTGGCGGTGTTACTATGTGAAGTAATGTGATCAGTAGAAGATGTTGTGGCTTATATTAATATGTTAAGTGGAGAATAATATGATATATGTGTCATATTGTATAATGTGAAGTTATTAAGTGAAGTACTCTTGTAATGTCTATATGATCGTTTATGGGAGTTAATGTTATTATTATTCTCTAATTGATGATATATGATGATGAAGGACAAAGAAGTGTCCTTATCGAATAATTTTTTATCTTGTGTGGTAGACTTAGTTTTCCCTACATGGTACTTGAATGTTGTTGAATCCGTGAAATGATGATGTTGTGTCTTGATTGGTAGACATAGGTCCCTCCACTTGATATATGAAAGTTATGTAAATATGAACTTTTGATGTAGTAGGGTTAGGCACCTCTATCATGTATGTGCATAAATGAATGATGAATGAAAGTGTAGGATCGGTAGACCTAAGATGGTGCCCTTGTAAGGATGAATAATATAGGACCTTGAATAAGAAAAGAAGGTCAAGAGAATAGAACCTTGAATATAGAAAAGAAGGTTAATAGAATCCTTAAAGTGAAAGACCGTAATGGTATCCTTCTTAAGTGGAATGATA